TACAAAGTTATCAAAATTCAAATATATATTTCAAATTATTTTATTCAAATTTAAAAAATAATATTTTTTTTATAAAATTCCATGGGGGACTATAGTGCACATGGGCCCACCATGTGGCATGTAGGTGGGGGCCTACATGTGTCACAAAAGAGTGGCATGGCCCACCCTGTTTGGATTCTCTTGTTTGCTTTTAAGATAAGGTTAGTTTGATTTGTGGCATGTGGTCAAATCTTGGAAGGGATATATTGACCATGGCTTTATCTATTTTGTAGCAAGTTTGTTTTAAAGAGATATAGTCAATTTGAATTGATATGGATTTTATCTTATTTATATTTGGTAGTATTTATCTAATTGATATTATTTGACATATTCTTATGGAATATGTGACATGGATCGTGCAATTTTATAAAATGCATGATATTTATTTTATTTAAAATATATTGATGGAAAAATGGTTTAACAAAAGGGGGATAATGGTCCAAGCACCTTACGTAATATTGATGACCCATCTATGGAATGGATCGTTCAGATCTTTCACCCCACAAGTCACCTTGATCAATATTCTAGATTCAATTTCATGAAAAAAACAAACTATGGGAAAACCCTAAAGAAACCCTAAACCTAAATATTCACTATAAATAGGGGTGCTCCTCCCAATCTCTCCCACAACCTCTCTGTCTCCCATAACCTCTCTCTCCCCTAGAGGGGCACGCCCCACTCTCTCCTCCATCTTTCTCTCTCTATTTTGCTCTCTTCGAATGTTAGGTGGTACTCTCTCTCCTCTCTAGATCTAAGTTAATTTTGGAGGATTAAAGTTTTAGTAGAGTTTTTAAGGAGTGATTATCTAGTTTTGCCGAAATCAGCTAGCCCGGTTCGAGATTAAAACTAGACCATAGATCCTGGGCCATTGGATGTGGCGACTCGGTGAGGGATGTAAAAAACCCGGTTGAGGTAATCTCCGGCATCTTTTCTTTTATTTGTTAAGTTCTTTATTTTATATTCTCAAGTACAGTATTAGGTTGTATGAGACATCAAGTAGTTGAGATTTATTTTTTTGGAATTTTTATTCTTTGTAATAAGACCATCTGTGAGTGATCTTGTTGCCAAAATTATAAGGGGTGATTATTATTATTTTTTTAAAAATGTATTTCCCCGACAAAAGATCACATAGGTCTTTCTTTTAATTTCTACACAAGGAGAACTTAGGGTACTATTTGTAGAGAATTCATTCCCATTAAGCAAAAAATTGTTGAATTTCCTAAATATTGGATTCCTCCTGATGACTTCAAGCCAGCCTAGGTTCTAAGACACTAGGTCAGTAGCTTGAGAGGCACCACAAAGGTACTCTTCCAACCTATGGTACTTATGCAGGTGAGTCTAGTTTCAATACATGTGGAACCCTATCTAACAATCCTGGTCTCTAAGCTAGCAGGCCTCAAGAATATCATTTAGGAACCTTGGACTAAGGGGTTAAACTAGGCGCAATTCTCCAAGACATAGGGATTTGTTTTAAATTTGGTCGGTGTGGACAAGGCAAGTTAAACATGCAAATCCCTGAAACCTTGAGGTCAGTCGACCCGAACCAGGTTAACCCCT